CTCAAGGTCGGTCCTGGTGACTGGGTCGAAGTGGCCTCCGCTGTCGGCGCTTCTGCCCCCCCGGTGTGGGAGTTCAGGTGCGGCTGCGGTGGCCATGCTGGCTAGCTTAGCTGAGACGCTAGCTGCCCGAGTTGTTACTGCCGGCTGAGGGTTAGAGTTTGAGGAGCTCATAACGTCGCAATGTACCTTCTTACATAAGATTGAGTAATGCACGAGTCAGTCCAAGGAAAAGCACAGTTAAACTGGTAGACTTGAAAGGTAAATGAAAAGTTCGGCTGGAGCTCCCTTCTCTCATGTCTGCTCTCTACGTCATCAAACCGGAAGTCCTAGCTCTATTTGCATGTTTCTAAGCAATACAAGGCCTTGTCTATATAAAGAGTAAAACTCACGGCGGATCCAGACATTTGAATTGAGAAAGCTTCCTGGAGGTGAAGCAAAACATCTTCAAATTTTCAAGTCCAGTGGATTGTTTTTAAACCTTTACGGAATGACTATGACCTGGATGACTGGGAATCTTCATCAGTTGTATTTAACTGCAAGTTGTGCAAAAGATGAAAAAACATTGTCCGTATACAGGTCGCCAACAGACTTGAGCCCATTGTTGTGCCACAGCCGAAACGTTGTGTCCATTTTAGAGGGTTCAAAAGTAAAATTCCTATAGATCGATGTCAAAACCGAAGGACCTCAAAGACCAAAGTGCTTTCGAATCTGATTCCAAATCCTCAGTGATATACAAACTAAGGGGCAGCCAGACAAACATGAAAGCTGAAGTGGAAGAAGAGAACATAGTGGCGAACGCAGGGAAAATGGAACAGAGTCCTGTTCAAGGTGTACCCAAGCAAGTAGGGAATCATGCTCAACTAACCAGGAAAAAAAGCTTCTGTATGTTTGCTGCCCAGTAGTAGTACCTAAACACAGGTAGGGTGAAGCCCCGCCTTTTCCTTAAGTGCTTGAAGGATTGACCGGGGGATCCTTGCAGGCTTACCATCCCACAAGAAGTCTCAGACCAGCTTGTCCAATCTGTCAAAAAACGATTTGGCTAACAAAATCGGAACATGTTGAAATAAATAAAGAAATTTGGGGAGAACTACCATCTTGACGAGATTGACGTCCAACAAGAGAAAGAGGTAGCGTAGACCAGCGGACAAAATCCCTCTCTGTCTTCTCGACCAATGGAGAAAAGTTAACTGAATACAAATTACACAAAGATGTGGTAACATGGACATTCTAAATATCGAAAGCCAGAACATGGCCATTTAAATAGAACTATCATATGGGGAAGAGCTATAGCAGGAACATTGATAGGCAAGAGCGCACTCTTCTGAAAATTAAGATTGTATCCCAATATAGCACCGTAACGGTTTAAAATGTCACAAATCACAGGGAATGAGTTTGCGGGGTCAGAGACATACAAAAGGAGGTCATCTGCGTACAGTGAAACCTGTTGAACCCTATTAAGACGCGTTATGCCCTTGAAACCAACCTCCGAACGTAGCAACATATCAAGTGAATCTATTACCAGAGTGAAGAGTAGCGGGGATAGCGGGCATCCTTGCCTGGTAGCATGAAATAAAAGAAAAGGGGGAGACAATGTATTGTTAGTTTGAACAGATGCTTTTGGTGATGAGTATAAGAGCTTAATCCAATGAAGAAAGGCCTCCCCAATTCCAAACCTGGCCACCACTTCATAAAGGAAACACCATTCAACCCTGTCGAAGGCTTTCTCAGCATCAAGGGAGACCACAATCTCTGTCAGTTTAGAATCAGATGGCGCCCCAGACCGAGGGAGATTTTCCGTTATTTTGTATTTCTTCCATTTTCTAATAATTGCACCAACTGTTGTTGCCTTCTCACCAAGCTGCTTGCCTATTGTCCTGTAGCCCATCCCAGCCTTGTGCAGGTCTACAATTTTATCCCTGATGTCCTTACACAGCTCTCTGGTCTTGGGCATTGTGAAGATGCTGGAGTGTGATTGATTGAGTGTGAGGACAGGTGTCTTTTATACAGGTAACAAGTTCAAACAGGTGCAGTTAATACAGGTAATGAATGGAGAACAGGAGGGCTTCTTAAAGAAGAACTAACATGTCTGTGAGAGCCAAAATTCTTACTGGTTGATAGATGATCAAATACTTATTTCACACAATAAAATGGAAATTATTTATAAAAAAATCATACATTGTATTTTTCTGGATTTTATTTTTAGATTCCATCACTCACAGTTAAAGAGTACCTATGATAAAAATTACAGTCTTCTACAAGCTTTGCAAGTGGGAAAACCTGAAAAATCAACAGTGTATCAAATACTTGTTCTCCCCACTGTAAATGAAAATGTGACAATCAGGTTTCAGGTTAGTTTCAGTGTCTGCTGGATTCTTAATAGACAGATGGAAATCAGAGCAGTCCTGGCTCCACTTTCTCCTCTGTTGGTTTGCAGATGATATTGCAGCACTGCCTCCCGCTGTAGGAACCGGATCTGCTCGGGTCCTGCTTCATGCCATTGACGTTAAGCTACATGATTGGCTGAACATTGCCATATGATGTAAAACATTGTGGTTGCCCAGAAAATTATAATAACATCACGCAGCATCCGTGTGCCGAGTCGGGATCATCTGTAGCGTTAGCGTGTCTAATGACCGATGAAAGTTTACCTGATTGATATGATAACAAAACAGAGAATACCCGTTTCTGGTGAACAAAGTAACTGTTAGACCATAATATAAAAGGGGGAGCTGGGTAGAGCTGTGGCTAGCTGTGCTCAGTAGCTTTGCTTTAAAGTTACTTTGTGTTAATAATAATGTTCGCTTTCTAATAACTGTTTTATTTGTTTAAAATGAGTCGTTTTTTAGGTTGTCCCATTTTTCCTCCTCTCTCCTCAGATCTCAAAGGGGAACACCGTTTTTTTTTTTATTATACGTTAATTTTACGTTATTCCATCATGTTCTACTCACCAATGTTAGTTTGTGTCATTTGGAGCCGTTCTGAAGATATTCGATTTTGTAATCCAAGTAACGTCTTCATATGGGCAACGACTTGAAGGCACAAACTAAACTGTTCATAATTTATTCTTTACAGTATGCCAGCATTCAGAACATGTAGGCGAATCCCTGTCCCCACAGACATCCACGGCTATATTTTTTAAAAACAAAGCGGAGTGTGTCATCTGCATGCCGGCCTGGAGTTGTGACATTATAAACAAACAAGCCGCCAGACCCATATATTTATTTTTACTCACGGAGGTCCAGTGGTCTCCTGTCAAAGCAACATAATCCGCTGAAGCCGAATCCTCTTCCTTCGTTTTCTTTTTAACCTCATAAAGTTAGTTTATTTTAGTCATCACTGTGCCTCTTGACGGTGGTGTGTAGAGTGCATATAACGTTGCCACTTTCAAAACTTCTGCAAGACCTGTGTCCTCGACAATATTAATCCGTCTAGTCCTTGGATATCCATCTGGCAATTTTATCTGACGTAAACTTACTTAATGCCCTTTGAGGGTGAGTCTGACGCATACCAGATGTAACACCTGAAGTTGAAGCCCAAATGAATTATTGCGTGCCGTTAAGATGATATTTAAGGCTGGAGGTGCTTCGGTAAAACGAAAAGTCTTTCATGTAGTGTGAGCAAACCACAACAGCAACACCCTAATAGATTGTGAGTCCAAAATAGATTTGCTTCTTAAGAAATTAGTGCAAAACAGTTTTTCCGAGTGGACCTGCCATATGATGATGTCATAAGAAAAGGCAGGAACCCGAGCAGATCCGATACACCGGCGGTATGCTGCAGGTCTGGCACGCCCAACAAGAACTGCATATTTTAGTGGGATCATAATCCTGATGAACAGAGGATGTTTGGAGGTGGACTTTCTTGATTAAAACCAATTTTCTAACTCATAAAGCAAATAAAGCCAAGCTGCTTTTTAGCTTGAAGCTACAGAACAGAGGAGATAAACATCCAGAGTGTTGAAGCATCAAAGCGTTCACCACAGTTTGGTCCAGCGTCCTCATGTCTGCAATTACACATTTTTGACGCTGTTAATGCCTTTGTTGTGAACGCAGCATAAGTATTTGAATTTGAGTCAGAAGTTCAGCGATACTTCTTGGTCTGCTCTCGTAAACAACAACTGGACCTGAGGTTCATGATCTCAGTGTATCCACGTTCCAGCATCCTTTTAAGATTAAATGAGGAATCAATGCTGATTGTGATCTGTTGGGCAGTGTCATCTCCCAGTGGTGGAAAGCAGTCACCAGTCTGCCATTTGCTGATTATCTGTGTTTTAGAAGTGATGAGATGGTTTTTCTGCACAGGTGGTCAGGAGTACCTTCTAAACCTGATCGACTCTCCGGGTCACGTTGACTTCTCTTCCGAGGTTTCCACAGCTGTCAGGCTGTGTGATGGAGCCATTGTGGTTGTTGATGCTGTGGAGGGCCTGTGTCCTCAGGTAAACCTCCTCCCGTTTAATCTCAGTGTTAACGCTTCCAATCAGGAAACCTGATCGAATGAAGCATTGTTTGTCTTTTGTTCTGTTGGTAGACCCAGGCTGTACTCCGACAGGCATGGCTGGAGAACATCAGGCCTGTTCTGGTCATCAATAAGATGGACAGACTCATCACCGAGCTGAAGCTCACCTCTCTGGAAGCCTACAACCACCTGGTGAAGATCCTGGAACAGGTCAGTCTATGGCACAGCCCTGGTGGCAACTCACAGAAGCTTCAGTCTCCGTTTTGTATGAGAAAGACTTGGAAAAGTCTATGGAAGAAGAACGGGTCTCATTATCTGGTGTCAACCTGCTCTCTTCTCTGTAGATCAATGCTGTGACAGGGGCTCTGTTCACATCTAAAGTTCTGGAAGAACGAGCAGAGAAAGTGAGGGAGGAGGAGGAGGACAGGGACTTGGACCTGAGTGGAGATCAGGTCTATGACTGGAGCGCTGGACTGGAGGAGGCTGACGACTCCAACCTCTACTTTTCCCCTGACCAAGGAAATGTGGTGTTTGCCAGTGCCATAGATGGATGGGGTTTCAGGTGATTCATCCCTTTCCTCTGGAGTCCAAACATAGCACCCCCACATGGCAGATACAGCCAGTTTGCTCGAATCGGTACTAGAAACCTAGAAAATCCCAGTAACACAACTATTCACGGCCTTCCACCCTGAGCTGCTGGCTGTTACCTTGGAAACGATGGGGACGCAGAGAGCAGTTATTTATTTGTGTCCTATTAACAGCACTGCACACCGATGGCAGGTCTGGTCCTCAGGAGAAGTGGAGAGACATGTTCCTGGATCTATAATGGTCCTTCAAGACCGCTGAACATTAAAACCACTGACAGCTTGATCCTCTGCTCTTCTAAATGTTACATCATCAGTTCTTTGTTCTGGAAATTCAGCATCCTGAGAACAATGAGTGAACGGTTTCAGCCAAGTTTATTATTTTAAGAGCAGAAAATGTTGTTCCAGTCAAACCATTTCATTTGTCAGTGACATTTCCCATAGTGGCTCTAAGGTGTCTGTCATCCTGATTAGTGTCTTTTTTTCTGCAGCGTTCAGCATTTTGCCTCCATATACAGTAAGAGGGTGGGGATCAGAGCCTGGGTGCTGCTGAAGACCCTGTGGGGAGATTTCTACCTCAACGCAAAAACAAAAAGGATCATGAAGGGGGCTCAGGTAATATGAACAGATGATATTCTTAAAGCTTTTCCTTGTTTTTCTTGGTTTTGCTATTTGTCAGAATGTCTGACTTTAATTAGACCTTTTTGGGTTGAACAGAAACGGGTCTCCTGTTTCCTTGCAGGCCAAAGGAAAGAAGCCACTGTTCGTGCAGCTGGTTCTGGATAACATCTGGAGTTTATATGATGCAGTCATCACCAGAAGGTGGGTTAAAGCTCATGTTCTAGCTTCAGATGTTCAAGCTCAACATTCAGGCCATCCAGTACGTGAAATGGATGCAGCAATGGAAAGCCAGTAAGGAACAGCAGCAGGGACTTTGCCAGTGGCTGTATCGGTGGCTGTGCCAGCGGTTGTACCAGCGGCTGTATCAGCAGCTGTGCCAGTGCCAATGACTGTGTCAGCAGCTGTATCAGCGGCTGGCTTTGTCATCCTTCCATCGATTCTAATGCATGGTTTCTTCTAAAAGTGTTTGTATTTGTGTGAGCAGAGACAAAGACAAGGTGGAGAAGGTTGTATCATCCCTGGAGATAAAGGTGATGTCCAGAGACCTGCGTCACTCTGACCCTAAAGTTCTCCTACATGCTATCTGCAGCCAATGGTTACCAGTGTCCAACGCTGTCCTCTGTATCCTCGAACTCCAACTAATCGTCTCCACAGCTCTATCAGAGTCTGGGTTCCAGTTTTCCTGAACAGTGACTCCAGCTATGGTGTGTGAGAAGCTCCCCAGTCCATTAGAGATGGCAGCAGAGAGGGTGGAGAAGCTGATGAGTGTAGGAACCCGTCCTTTTGAATCCCTACCTGAAAGGACTCAGGAACTGAAGACAGGTAATCCCTGACACACTCCACCCACACATACATGCACTGTTGGTTCCTAAAACAAAAAACATGTCCTTTAGTCGCTCTGGAGCTCAGCAACTTGCTCAGTTACTCATTGGAAGTACTCAACCATAGTACTTGAGTAAAAGTATTGATACTCATCAAATCTTACTCAACTACAAGTAAAAGCTAGGTCAAACATTACTCAAGTGAAAGTACTAAAGTAATCACTTTTGAAAATACTTAAGTATTCAAAAATCCAAATTATATTCTCCTAACACCAGCACATTTTTGTATAATTTTCAGAGTAATTTCAAAGAACCTGTAACTTTCAGAATACACCTGATGTATTAATGCGTAAAACCAACTGCTATAGCTTCTACAGCACCTGGAAAGAACTTCAGCATCAACATGATACAAAAAGTAAGGACAGATATTGTATTATTGTTTATCATTCAGAAATACAGCCAAAAAGAGGCAGGAGAGTTTTGATTCTCCTCACACTTTCACTTTGCAGCGATTCCCAACCAGTTGTACTCGTACCCCTAGTGGTCCGCAGGTGGATTGCAAGGGGTGCATGAAAATATTTGATTTGTTAGGTAGTAAAATAAAACAGGGTTGGGATCTGTTTTGCTTTTTAAGGATCCAATTGAAAAATTAAACAAGTAAGTGTTTATTATATGTTTGAGTTCACCTTCAGCCTTGACACCCATCCAAACCAAGCAGAGGAACAGACTGGATGTAGAGAACAGCCTTGGATCAACTATTTTTCACACTGAGCTATTAGAGCTCATCAAAGCAGCTCAGGTGTGTTGAATAATAGAAACAAAGTAAAACTTTTTAAACCCGTCTACCAGACATGGGCAAAGTGGAGTCAACAAGTCATCTCCATGTCATGTATTTAATCTACCCAGCCAATTACGTGGGTGAGTCCAATCTGCACAGGTTAATTCACGGTGAAGATTGGACTCACCTGCTTCAGTGGCTGGGTAGAACAAATACATGACATGGAGATGACTTGTTGACTCCACATTGCCCATGTCTGCCGTCTACCTATAACCTTTGTTACCAATTCATCAAGCTTAAATGTGATTATAAGGGAGTTACTCAGAGGAGTCCAGTTTTATAAATACAGGTTAATATCATTTTATTTTGTATTTATTTTTATTCCTTAAAGTCGTAGGGAACCTGCTGTTCCAACCGTTGCATTTCAGAATTCTCCCGAGTGGTGCCCGACTGCACGAGACACAAGAGAATAAAGTGAATGTGATTGGTTGTTTATCAAGGGGGCGGGATTGTTGTGGCGAAAGGTTTGCAAGCAAGTTTGGTTGTGGC